AGGGGGGGAAGGAGGAAGAAGAGGAGGCTGTTGACAGAGGGGATGTTGTAGTAGAAGGTGTAGGTGGAGGAGCTGGTGGTGATGGTGGTGATGACGGTGGCAGTGGTGGTGGTAGTGGTGGCGGTAGTGGTGGTGGTAGTGGTGGTAGTGGTGGTGGTAGTGGTGGTGGAGGTACAATCAGTAGCTGCATTGGCAGGATGCAGGCCATCATCCCCTGCAGCCACTTTGATAACATTTTTTTATGTAGTCTGTTGTAGTTGGCCTGGTTCCCAACCAAATTGAAGTATCCACTTTTTTTTTTTTTTTTTTTTTTTTTTTGAAAAATCATCGCTGCCGGGCATAGGAGGGATGCTGGTAAGAGCAGACACCCCTTCTACTGACCCGTATATTGGATGGCTCCATTCTATAGGTGGGAAGCTGCACCTGTTGGAAACCGGTGTCTGGGCAATCTGCTGTCGAGGCCTAGCTGCCCTGTAACCTCCCTTAATCGTGTAGTCCCAAATACGCAAGGTTTGTTGGTCAGTCCATTCCCACTCCTCCGGATCGAAGGGGAGCAGGGCAATGGGGGTGGTCGGTTCATATGCCAGAAACCCTTTGTCTTGGTCTCCTACCACTCTGATGATCATCAATCCCCCCCATGGTTCCGTGGTGTCCGAGTCCTCGTCCCTGGCTAAGCGAGAGAGCCGGTTTGTCGGATTGTTCAGGGTAAAGGCTTCCATCGAACACCTTTCACAGCCCGTGTTGGTTACTTTGTAGACTCGCTCCGGCCAGGGGAGGTCTACATACCTGACCACCCTGTCATTCGGTTGAATCGTCGAACCTGCTTTAAGGGTTTGCTGTCAGGCCAACGGGAGCGCTTCAATAAGCTGGTGCGCTCTCTCTTCAACATTCCTTGCGTGCTTCAGCCTGGGTCTCAGGCTATCCGGCGAGGCCCATTTCTGCTGGGCATGGTCCCAGAGGTCGGCCACTGTGTAAATTTCTCCCTTGACCCAGGTAAGCCATGGGGAGTTAGCTGTGAGTGTGAAGGGGTTTCCTGCATCGTCCAGGATAAATGAATTTCCGAACAGCGGTTGTCTCCGTATAGTGTGCCACCTATTGGGGGTGGGTTTTTGCTTGGGACCTCACGTCCTCCATAGTTTGATCATGGAAGGCCAGAGGGGGTCATTGTGGATATCCTGTCTGATGGTCCGTGCTGTGCCAGTTGTTTGCCTGTAGCGGCGAGGGCCAGGGACTGACCACTGATTATTTGTTAGCCATCGGAAGGGGTGTATGTGGTAAGGGGGGAGCGATTTCAGTGCAAGGCCAGCGATCTGCAGGCAGGTCAGGGGTCTCCATGGAATGTGGTTCCCAACGAGGAGTCTGGTTAGAACCTTAAACATCAAGGCCTCAGTCTCCCTTTGGGGGTCTAATATCCCCAACCCTCCTTTGGCCCTTGGTTGCGTGAGGGTGTCCCTAGACACTCTATTCAAACAACCTTTCGTTTTCCTGGAATTCTTCCATAGGTATGATGTGAGCGCCTTGCGCAACCTAGCATATTGCTGAGGAGTCAGTGACCATACCGCCAGTTTGTACCATATGGCCGCAAGAACAGCGTTGTTGATGGCCAGCGCCCGCCGCACCAACGAAGTGTGCAGGCCCTCCCATTTGGCAAGCCGTTCTATGACAATATCTAGTAAGTTATCGCCATGGTCCAGAGGGGGGCCCATTGCCGTCAGCTTCACTCCGAGGATCTTAATGGCATCCTCTTTTTGCGCCCAAGCCACGGTAGGGGTCGACGGCGGGGGCTCATCTTTAGGGTGGAACCACCATCCTTCTGTCTTTGATCCCTAGTTGACCTTCATGTCGGCCACCAACGAAAAGAGGTGAATAGTTTGAGTAAGGGCCCGCAAGTTGTCTCGGTTCGCCTGAATAAGCACAGTGAGGTCGTCGGTAAACAGCGACGTGATCGGAATGAGATGGTCCGGGATCTCTGGAATTGGCACTTTACCGATTCCTGGGAGGGCCCGAATCAGCGCTGGCAGGGCCTCCATTACTATCACAAAGAGCAGGGGTGCAATGGGGTCCCCTTGGCGGACTGACCTCTGCAACTTTATTGGCGCTGAAAGGTGGCCGTTAAGCATTATATTCGTAGTCGCCGATCTGTGAAAAAGTGGTACCTAGTGGCAGAATCGGGGACCAAAATTCATTCTTGTCAAGCACATATCCAAGAAATCCCAGTCTACATGGTCGTACGCTTTTTCAAAGTCTATAAACAGAATAGCCGCTTGGACTCTGTGTTGGCGTGCATATTTAATAGTCGCATTGACTAGGAGGATGTTGTCTTGGATGTTGCGATTGGGCATGAACCCTGTCTGATCAGGATGGATCAGCAGGTTCATAAAGGGCAGCAGCCGAGTTGTAAGTGCTTTGGCCACCAATTTATAGGGGACCGGTAGGAGGGTGATCGGTCTATAGTTCCTAATATCCTCCTCGTCACCCTTTTTGTATAGGAGCGTAGTGACTCCTTGCCCGATTATGTCACCAAAGGAGCCTTCCTTTTGGACAACAGTTATAAACTTCATCAGATCATCTTTAAGGAGGTCCCAGAACAAGAGCCATAACTCTTTTGGGAAGGAGTCTATTCTTGGTGTTTTCTCCTCTTCCATATCTTGCAAGGCTGCCCATATCTTCTCCTGTGAAAGCGGCTCGTCTAGATCCGATTTCTGTTTCTGTGTTAGGTGCGACTACAGTGTCCGAAACAACTCTTTTCTGGCATCCTGAACCTCCGGCTGGTTCTTGGAGGGAGTCTGAGATGTAAACATGTCAGTATAGTATTTGGCAGCGTAATCAGTTATACCATAGGCATTTGTAGCAACCGGTGCATCGTCATCCAAGGGATGTCTGAGCCTAGGGATGGTTGAAGCCTGTGAACGGGCTTTCGCTTTGTTGAAGAAAGACCTTGCCATTCTTCCTTCGGTATGTTGTCGCCTAATTCTAGCTTGTATCCTCCATTCTTGTGCCTGACTTTGTAGGTAGTCCCGGAGGTGGTCTCTTGCCTCTTGCAGCTTTTCAAAAGAGGGGATGTATTGGGGATTTTGTGTGAGCGAATCATCCCATTCGTCCAGTTCCAGCATGAGGCGATCGATTACAATTTTTCGGTCCCTTGC